CATGTCGTCCCCCAACCCTGACGGTACCCCACAAGAGCCTGAGCCTGAACTCTCAAGCTCCAAGAAGAAAGAAAAAAAAAGAAAGTGGCCACAGCACGAGGCCAGCATCCGAGCCCTCACCAGGGCTGGCCACGGGGCCCTACTGGCCGGCCGGAACCATGAGGCCTTGACCAGCTTCCAAAGGGCCTTCCTCCTGGCCTCCAAGGCCCCACGGAAAAGGGACGCCCCGGTTCTCCGGGCCTGTGCCTTCAACCTGGGGGCTGCCTATGTGGAGACTGGGGACCCAGCCAGAGGCCTTGAGCTGCTCCTGCGAGCCCAACCGGAAGAGAAGGCACAAGGAAGGTGTCATGGTGACCAGTGTTTCAACGTGGCTTTGGCATACCATGCCCTGGGTGACCTGCCGCAAGCTTTGGCCTGGTACCACAAGGCCCTGGGCCACTACCAGTCACTAGGTGACCAGGGGCAAGCCCAAGCCAAAATGGGAGCCTGCTACCAGGCTCTGGGACGGCCCGAGCTAGCAGCCCACTGCCTGCAGGACGCAAGCTGGGCCTATGCCCAAGCAGGACAGACCCGAGCTGCAGCCCTGGCCCTGGGTGCTGCCGCGGGGTGTCTGCTGAAGAGCGGGCAGCACGGCGTGGGAGAAGTGGTGCAGGTGCTGGAGGAGAGCCGGAGGCTCGCTGAGAAGAGCCCTGAGCAGGGACTGCTGGGTGAGGCCTTTGGGCAGCGGAGCATGGGACCTGGTGATGCTCTGAGAGGTGGGGTGGAAGCAGAGGCAGCTCTGAGGGCTGGGGTCGGGGCCGGGGGGACCCTGGGAGAGTGGGACAGGGGCTACACCAGTACAGCCTCAGTTGCATCTGACCTGGCCACCAGTGACCCTGGCCTTGCCCTCCAGGGCAACTCTATAACGACCTAGGCCTGAGCTACTCCCAGCTCCAGCTGTTCCCGCTCGCGGCAGAGTCCTTCCTGCAGGCCCTGCCCCTATGCCCAGGGCCAGGAGAGGAGGCCACAGTGCTGCGGAACCTGGGGATGGCCCACAACGCCCTGGGCAACTATCTGGAGGCCCGGGACTTCCACCAGAAGGCTGCCGACCTGCATGGTGAGTGC